CACCTGCTACTAGTCAGAGACTGACTCAGATGTCCTCTTGACCTTCTTTCCAGCTCCTAACTCTGGAATTCCATGATTCATCAATAACATCTGATCAGATTTCAGCAGTGAGGATCTTGCTCACTTGCCATTCAGAATTAATGAAATGCAGGAATGCAGCCAATATGAAGAAAAGGAGAGCCCCTTTCTCCCTTAGGAAACTCACGCAGATCACATGATGCTACCTGGTGATCTGTGAGAACTACATCCCCATGTGAGATGGTACCTACCATTTCCTCCCTCTTCCCCAACCCTTATTTCCTCCAGTGGCTTTGTTTTTTTGGGTGGTAGATGCCCTGTAATGTGCACCATTCTATGTACTGTTCGAAGAAATCTGGTATCTGTGGGAAGGAAACAAAACTCTATTTGCTATGCTTCAGTCACCAAAAAAAGTACTAAAATAGCTAAAAATGTCAGTTCACAAGTAGAAATACTCAAATACATATTTTTCTTTTAGATCATAGTTCTGGTTTCTATTTTCAATGGGGATTTCATGGGGGAAAATATTTCACCCTGAGAGCTGGACATTTTAAGACACAAAATGTGAGGACACCCACATATCTTTTCATCGTTGTCATAATTTCCCAGCTAGGTTCAGAAGGGCTCCCTTGTATGCAAAAGTGATTTTTTGAAAGTGTCATGTGCAGGTTATTCCTTTCTAAGTACAGGATGTAGTAAGAAAGCTGATTCTAAATAACCTTCTTGGAGAGAAGGAAAAAGAAAGCTAATAACTCTTCTATTTGACGGTTTAAATTTTCCTTTCTAGATAAGTATGTTCTGATAGGTGATTTTCTTGTCCACACCTCTGTATGGCTAAGAGTTTTCTCCTAAAATCCCTTGAAAACTGTGAGAAGACCATAAGAAGATCATATCTTTAATTCTATTTCACAAGTCACACAATATTCCAGCCAATGACAGATGGTTGAGAAAGGCCATCCACCTTCCCTCCCTATCCTCCCACAGCCACTCAACCACTGCCCTGAAACTTATATGCTGCTATCCGCAGCTCCGTCTGGAGCATCACAGCTATTGTCAGCCCTGACACTCTTTCTGAACAAAACACTGGATGGACCTCAGAAGTATTTCCTTAAGGATGTTACTGAGTCACACAGGAAAACTTGCTTTATGATTTTGGATGCACAGATCTGATTTGACTAAACATGATAACTAGAGAATCACTCAATTTACTCCCATTTTTAACTCTAAATCATCAGATTGTCTCAAATCCAAAGCACACACAGACCAGCCTGGCCAACATGGTGAAACTCTGTCTCTACTAAAAATATAAAAATTATCCGGGTGTGGGGATGGGTGCCTATAATCCAAGCTACTTGGGAGGCTGAGGCAGGAGAACTCCTTGAACCTGGGAGGCAGAGGTTGCAGTGAACAGAGATCACACCACTGCACTCTAGCCTGGGCCACAAACAAACAAACAAAAAACAAAGCGCACACAGAGACTGAGGTCCTCTTTGGCATTGAGAAGATGGCTATGCAAGTCCCAACTAGCAAGTGCAAATTTCCCAACTTCAGTTCTGCCAGTGTCCCTTCACCCCTTCTCAACCCCACTGGGAGGCAGGAGGGTACTTGACAATAGCCTTGGCAACAAACTGCCAGGGTGTAATAGGAACTGTTACAATTCTGAGATTCTGTGTAAGCACTGGCTTTTCTGCCTAGAATGCCTTCTCCTCTCTTCTTTAACTGCATGCCCCTATTTATCCTTCAAAGCCCTGCAAAAATTACACTGCACACGGGAAATGCTCGCTTTCTACTGCAGTCATTTAGATGACTCTATGCCATTCCATTCATTTATCCTTCCTACCACAGAAGTGCTTTGAGATTTTGGAGTCAGACTACTTGAACTTGAATCCCGGCCCTCTCATCAGAGACTTGACTTATTTTAGGCAAGTTATATAACCAATTTTACTCTCAGCTCCTCACCCATAAAATGGATCTAATGAGAGTACCTACCACATAGAATTTTGATGAAAACTAAATGAGATGAAGTCCTTTAAGGCAGCGGTCCCCAACCCTGGGGACACAGACAGGTACCAGTTTGTGGCCTGTTAGGAACTGGGCCACACAGCAGGAGGTGAGCAGTGGGTGAGTAAGGTCAGCAGTATTTACAGCTGCTCCCCATTGCTCACATTACTGCTTGAGCTCCACCTCTTGTTAGATCAGCAGTGGCATTAAATTCTCATAGGAGCATAAATCCTATAGTGAACTGTGCATGAGAGGGATCTAGTTGTGCACTCCTTATGAGAATCTAATGCCTGATGACCTGTCAGCGTCTCCCATCACCCCTAGATGGGAGTGTCTAGTTGCAGGAAAACAAGCTCAGGGGTCCCACTGATTCTACATTATGGTGAGTTGTACAATTATTTCATTATATAATACAATGTAATAATAATAGAAATACAGTGCACAACAAACGTAATGTGCTTGAATCATCCCCAAACCATCCCAGTCCCTGGTCTTCCACATTTTGTCTCTTCACAAAATTGTCTTCCACAAAACTGGTCCCTGGTGCCCAAAAGATTTGGGACCACTGCTTTAAAGCCTTTGCATAGTGCTTAGAATTGAGGGAAAAAAACAATGCAGCTAGTTGTTACGATCACTGTATTTATTGGTGAGTTTCAAAAGGAAAAGAATTCTGTTCCATTTATGCTTGAGCCTTGAGTTGCTAACCAAGCCTGACACAAAATTACTGTTGAAGGGATGTGTGAGTCCTAATTGAAATGAGGCCACTTAAGGGAATTGTGGACCAACCCCTAAGCAAGGAGAAAGCCGTATCTTAATTATTGCAAGTATTTCAGGCAAGGTGTGGATGGCCGTTTGAATTCAAGTAGAATAGAACCTGGGATGAGAAAGAAGGTGTGTACATGGCTTGATCTTTGAACTTTAGCTCATCATCAGGAAGAAGGCTGAGTATTCTGTGCACTCACGGAGTAGCTAATGCTTACTCCCCATCTACCCACAGTTCTTTCTATAGGAAGGCTCCCTAGAATGCTTTGTGATATTGGACATTCATTCCAGATTCTACTGGGTATCTTTTAATATAAATATAATTATATTAAGTCTTGGCATGCTTGCTCAGTCTCTCCCTCTCTCTCTCTCTCTCTCCTCCCCACTCCCCTCTCTCTTTCCCAACAGACTTGGAAAGCAGGCATCACCATGTCTATTTAACAGTTGGGGTCCCTTGGCTACCAGGTGCTGGAGTAGGAATCTGAGCCCAGACATGCCTGATCTGCAAATTTTGTGTTTTCCCCACTGTGGTGGCAGATCACAACAATCAGCGCCAAGTTCATAGAAGGGGCGCCCCCTGTGGTCAATTGAGGGATTTGTGTTTGAGGCAGATCTCAAGACGGAATGGGTGGTGAACTTAGCCTAGGACGGGGCAGAAAGGAGCCCTCGCTCCTCAAGCACCCACGGCTATTGATAAGAAATCAATATCAATCCTTCCTCCTGACTCCAGCCTCCAGCTCTCACCCAGACTATCTGCATCCTTCTCTCCACCATGCTCCTTTGGAACCTGCATAAAACACAGATTAAAGGAATTCCTGCCTACTTCCCTTTCCGCATTATGATCAAATGGTTTTATACTATCATTGAACATTTTAGTACAAAACATGCCACCTTTTAATCTATTCATTCATTTAACAAATACTTCGGAGTGTTGACCATGTGCCAAGTGCTGTTCTAAAAGACATAAGCTGTGAGGTTACGCTGATCTGATTCTCACAGCAACTGCTTTCGAGATATGAATTGGTATACTCATTTGACAGATGAGGAAATTGAATTCATGTAGTGAGAAAGGAAGAGCTGTAATTCAGGGTTACTGGTTTCTCCTGCACTAAGCACTGAGCCATATTAGAAGAGAAGGCATGAGGAAGACAAAAGTGAGAAGGTAGGAGAGAAGACATTAAGTATAGGTCTATTAGTTCCTCTTAAAACTATTTATGAAAGAGGGGGATGGGGTAGTGGATGGGAAAGACAGATGGATTCATGTTCTTCACTCCAGGTTTCCTCCCGTTCCCTTCCCTTTTAAATGCCTGCTCATGTTTTGGCTCCCTTTCAAGCTCTAGGAAACACTCTGGAATTCCAGGCTGGGAGGGGTTTCCTTTGCAGATCTGGCTATTGTAACTTTACAAGAAACTGCTCAATACTTCCTCTCACCAGTTACAAACCACGGTTTTCTGAATGAACTTTATGTTCATTAAACAGTTAACCCTTCACCTTTCTGACTCACATTTTTCATGTTATTAGTCAGCTTTTGGAGTAAGGTAAAATCTAGAACAGCCTTTATACGCACCCCGCCTCCCACACACACACACATACATAATACAAACACAGACCACATATGTCCACATCCTTATGCACAAACACTAAGAAATACATGCAGACACAAATATACATGTACACAAAATTAAATACATTGCTATGGCACATTTACTACATATGTAAACACCCTTACACACACACACATACATACACATGCACACACACTCGTATGGAATTAGCTTTTTCTCCTTGAGGGAGGAGGGAAATGAAAAGAACCAAAACATTCAGATTCCCAAATGGACACATAAGAACCCCGTCATGGAAATAGGTCTGGGTTTTTTTTCTCTTTTGAGGGAAGCAGGGCGTTTCTGGTTACTGTCACCATTGCCGTTGTGCCCCTGCTTACCATCCCCCTGCCCACCGCGCCTCCCCGCTGCCCCCTGCCCCACCACTGCTAGGGTTTACAGGTCATCCCTGGATCACATAAGTGATATTGTATTCTTTTTTCTTTGACACAAAGTAAAATTATAATTAATCTCGAACAAAGTAAAAATGAACTCCTGAGTTCCAGTCCCTTATGTAACACACCTGGTTTATGGCAGGCACTCAGGAAATATTAGTTGCATGAATGAAGGCTGCATTTTCATTAGAACAACACACAGCCCAGCCCCTTCATGTTTCAGTGAGGGTTCAGATACCCAGAGGGCTATGCGATTGTCCAGGAGTCCACTCTGCTAATTGTGAACTTAATGAATCAAGACCATTGCGATTGGAAATCTGTTCTCCTCTGCTGCTGCGTCTCCTCCTTCATACTCAAGCCAGAAACCAGGAAGGTATGTGCCACAAAGTAAAGTGGGATTCAGGACAATTATCCATCAAGACTTTGTTACAGATTTCCAAAGCAGGCAATTCAAGTCCCAGCTTGACTTTACTGTCTCCATTTTGGTGGTTAATAGAGACAACCTGAATTCAAATTTGTCCACATGAATTTCCCTTGTTTCTCTGAGGTTTGACTTTTCTGCCAAAAGAGAGAAACACAGAGAGAGGGGAGAGAGAAAAGAGGGGAAAAAGAGAAGAGAAGGAGCCCAAGGAAATGTGACATATAATAATTTTTTAAAGAGTATTTTTTCAATTTTTTAATTGAAGTATAAAGTACATGTAGTAAGGTATGTAAATAACTCAAATCTTAAGGGATTTTTACATACGTGTATACCTGTGTACACCTGCGTAATTACTACCTAAGTCAAGATGGAGAACATTTTAATCACCTTAAAAGGTTTCCGGTGTCTCTTCCCACCAATACCTGCTGATGTGCCCACTCTCCTTACTGCTATCAGCAGATTTGTTTTACCTGTCCTTGAATTTAATATAAATGTAATTATACAGTATATGCTCTTTTGTGTCTGATTTCTTTCACCCAACATACTTGTTGGTTTAGTTCATGTTCTTGTGTACATCAGCAGTTTGTTCTTATTAAGTAACAGTGTTCTATTGTACAAATGGACCATATTTTATCCTTCTTCATGTTAATAAACATTTGAATTGTTTTCATGTTCTTGTTATGAATCAACATGGTTATGAATAGTTTGGTTATGAAGAGTTTTACACACGCTTTTTAGTGTATTTTGTTTCTCTTAAATATATACTTAGTAATGGGATTACTGGTCATACAGTATAGGCAGAAGTTCAGCTTTAATTGACACAACCAACTGTTTTTGAAAGGGGTTGAGGCAGTTCACACGCAATAAATAACTAACAACATATAAAAGTTCCAATAACTCCCAATATTTACCAATATTTGATTGTATTAGTCCTTTAAAAATTTTAGCCATTCTGATGAGTATGTAGTGGTAATTCAGTGTAGTTCAATTTGCATTTTCTTGATGAGCAATCAGTGTGAAGTGCCTGATCAAAGTTTTCTTGTGTGGGTGTGTGCCATATTTAAAGTGGTTGCTTGTCCTTTTGTTATTATTTTGTAAGAGTTCTTAATGTATTCTGGGTATGAGTACTTTCTCAGATAGAAACATATGCATATATTATGATAAAATTATTATTCCAGGCTATGGCTTGCTTTTTCACTTCTTGTGTCCTGTTTAAGAAATACCTGCTATCCCAAGGTAAGATATTATTCTTTTTTTTTTTAAATGTTATTTTGTTTTACCTTTCACATTTGGTGTACACTACATTTGTAATTAATTTGTCCATATGATACGACATATAGCCAGGACTTATTTTTTACCATACAGATACCCAATATTGCCATTTACATAGAACATCATTCTCTTCCCACTCAATTCCCTTGGCACTTTTGTCATAAATCAGATGAGCATGTATGTGTAATTCAGTTTCTGGACTCTGACTTCTGTTTCTTTAGTCTATTTGCCTATCCTAGTACCAATATGCACTGTGTTAATAACCGTAGCTTTGTAGTAGGTCTCAAAATCTGACAGTGTAATTCTTTTGGTTTCTTTCTTCTGCAAATTTTCTTTAGCTGTTTTAGGTCCTTTGCATTTGTATATAAACTTCAGAATCAGCTAGTCTATTCCAACAACAACAACAACAAATGAAAGTTTCAGAAACTTTAACTGAAATCATATTGAATCCGTAGGCAATTTTGGAGTAATTTGCGTCTTGGCAATGTAGAGTCTTTCGAACCATAACCATGGTAAGTCTCTCCATTTACTTAAATCTTCTTTAATTTATTTCAACAATGGCTTCCAATTTCCAGTGTGGAGCTCTTGGAAACTATAATTTATGTGAACTTCTAGTTCGATATTTTTTGGTGTCATTATAAACATTGTTGTTTTAAAAGTTATCTTCAATTTTTGTTGTCAGTGCACAGAAATACAATTAATAATAACTTTTATATATAAACTGTATCCAGTGATCTTGCTAGATTCACTGATGAGTCTGATATTGTAGATTCCTTGGGATTTTCTCTGTACATAATCATATCCTTTCTGAATAAGATAGTTTTACTTCTTCATTTTTAATATCTATGCCTTTTATTTATTTTTCTTGCCTAATTTCACTAGCTAGGACTTCTATAATATTGACTACAAATAGTGATAGGAAGAAAAAGTAAAATAAGTATAGTGTGAATGTGAGAAAAATATGGCATGAAATATAGAAACTGAAAGGACTAAATCCAATATCTCTAGTCCTATATGTGGCTTAAGGAGAAAGAATGCTGCCTCTAGAGCACTTTTGGTGAGGCAGATTTTGTGGTTGTATTAACAAACCGCTATTACCCAGGACTGAGTTAATTATTCTTGTGGGTTTTTTTTTTCTCCAGTGCCTTACTTGACTCCATGATCCAGCCTGTGAAGGAGTGACTTGTTGATAGACTCTGTCAGAATCACTTTTCCTACAACCCTCGACTGCCCAAGCAATTTTCACTAATACCTTCCTTTATTTTTGTTGTTCATTCATTAGATAGTTGTTTATTAAATGGCTGTTAGGTGCTAGGTACTTTAGTAGGCACTGGGAAATAAATTAACAAAATAGATGCAACTCTATCTTTGCTGAGCTTATTATCTTGTGATTTTCAGTGGAAACTCATAGAAACTCTCATTTGTAAATTTGAAGGAAAAAGCTATCTAATTTTTTGATATAACTGAAGGTCTGGAATTATTTATAACACTGGAGTTCTAGAGTTCTTTGATGTTAGGATTAGTGTACAAAATGTTATTAAGGACACAAGATTTTCTATCTGCTGTGCTCTCTACCATCCTCAGGCTGTTGGCTTTGATAATCTTTTTTTTTTTTTTTTTTTTTTTTTTTGAGACTGAGTCTCGCTCTGTTGCCAGGCTGGAGTACAGTGGCGCGATCTCGACCCACTGCAGTCTCTGCCTACTGGGTTCAAGTGATTCTCCTGCCTTAGCCTCCCAGGTAGCTGGGATCACAGGTGCACGCTACCACAGCCAGCTAATTTTTGTATTTTTAGTAGAGACGGGACTTCACCATGTTGGCCAGGATGGTCTCGATCTCCTGACCTCATGATCCGCCCACCACGGCTTCCCAAAGTGCTGGGATTACAGGCGTGAGCCATTGCGCCAGGCTGGCTTTGACTACCTTAAGACCATTATAGCTCCTGTAGTTCTAAACATTGTAACTTCCTACCAAAATATTCAAGGAAGGAAGAAAGTGAAATGGCAGCCTTTTTTTTTTTTTTTTCCATATTTGTCTATTTTCTCTAAATGCAAAATCATTTCTAGATGTTCTCCTGAAGACCTTCTCTATGTTTCAATGGTAGGAATTTTACCACATGGTCACCCTTAGCTATATGAAGGGTGGAAAACATGAGTGTCTGGCACAGAGACGTGGATTTACCATGGTCAACTTAGATTGGCCATGGTGAGTCCACTAGAGCTATTTATATTGTCACCTCAAACCAAACTGGGGTGCTGTTAGCAATGAAAAAACAAGGAGGGCCAGACATGGTGGTTTACACCTGTAATTCCAGCACTTTGGGAGGCTGAGGTGGGTGGATCACTTGAGGTCAGGAGTTCAAGACTAGCCTGGCCAACATGGTGAAACTCCGTCTCTACAAAAATACAAAAATAAGCTGGGCATGATGGCAGGTGCCTGTAATCCCACCTACTTGGGAGGCTGAGGCAGGAGAATCATTTGAATCTGGGAGGTAGAGGTTACAGTGAACCTAGATCACACCATTGCACTCCAGCCTGGGCAACAGAGTGAGACTCCATCTCAAAAAAAGGAAAAAAAAAAAGGAAATGGCCAATAGATAAGCAATGAGCTCCATAACTGTAGAAAGCACCTTGCTTCATTCAACATTCTATGCCCAGGTCCTAGCCCAATGCCTGGGACACAACATGCACTTAAAAAATTACTGAATTAATAGTCGGTTATTGATAAATATATATTTAATACATAAATGAATGACTAATAAATGAATATGTAATTAAAGGGTGTAACCTTTTACAATGGCAATGTTGCTTAATTAATTATAATCAATTCAAATCTTCAACTGTCCCAACGAAATTAATGTTCATGATTCACACTGGGGGAATACACAAAGGTATAAGAAGCACTTTGGGATTTAAACAAGAGCTTGCATCGGTTGTTAAAAAAAAATATTATCCTAGAATAACACAAATACGTTAACACTGCTTTTTTGGATGTGTAAGTTTCCTCAAGATTTTTCCACAGTTTATAACTTTACTGGTATTTTCTCTACATCTTACACATTCTAGAAACAATGAATTCATTATGCTTATTTATTTATTCATTTTTTATGTCACCCAGACTGGAGGGCAGTGGAGCAATCTCGACTCACTGCAATGTTCGCCTCCCAGGCTCAAGCGATTCTCCTGCCTCAGCCTCCTGGCTAGCTGGGATTACAGGCACCCAACACCATGCCTGACTAATTTTTGTATTTTTAGTAGAGACAGAGTTTCGCCATTTTGGCCAGGTTGGTCTCGAACTCCTGACCTCAAGTGATCCACCCGCCTTGGCCTCCTGAAGTGCTGGAATTATAGTTGTGAGCCACCATGCCCAGCCCATTATGCTTATTCAAATGCTTATTTATTTATTCATACATTTATCCATTTACAAATCAAATATCTAATGTGACTATTCTGGGCTAGGAAGCGTGCTATTGCATGACTTGCAGTCTGAGGACATTCTCCTGTCTTGTACACATTTCTCTACCTACCTTATACCACAAATTCCAACATATATTTTAAGACTCACTCAAATATCTCTACCTTGATGAAAACTACTTTCATGAACAGAGAGGATGGTTTTTCCTTTCTTCTGTAGTCACAATACACTTTACATATACTTCGGTAAGAGTTTTTGAACTTTTTGCTAACTTCATTATTCACTCTCATGATTTTCTCTTTCATCAGACTATGACTCCTTGATGGTAGCAATTCGTAGTAATCAAATTTTTGTATTTTATTTTAGTATCTGGCATCTTTCTTGACATATGTAGCAGTTGCTTTTTGACAGCTTGCTTCTTCAGTGAATGAATACATTAATAAAGAGACATGTGATGTTCAGTGATTAATTTTGTAGGTAAGAACACTGAGGCAGACAGAGGATGTTAGCAAGCAAGAGGCCTTGGGCTACAATTTAGATCATTTGACTCTTACTCTAGATGCAATCTGCAGAACCCACATACTTTTAGTTATTGCCTTTGTCTATGTTCTGCCACTGTCACTTCTAAGGAAGGTGCGTCATCCCAAATGGAGTAGTATCTTATTGGTAGACCCAAATCTGCAGTGTTTGCCAGGTCACCTAGATGAGTATCTGTGTGTAGCATTCTGCACATTCATCTTTTCCACGTTCTGGAGGTGTTGTCTTTTTATAGGCAGCACATGAATAACAATGGGGCCAACCTGGGGAGCAGAAGAGGATATTTTCTAGTTCTGAACATAGATAAGCATCACTAGCTTTTCCCTTCTAGCAGTAATGGCCTCAAAAGTTCCAACTTAGGAGAAAAAGGCGAAACAGTCTGCCAAAGTGTGTGAAGAGTTAGAACAAACCTTGCTTTTACCAAGACCCCGTGTCCCTCTTCTGGAAATTCACACTTTCACAGTTTTAGACAAATATTAAATGTGTGACATTCTATTACGTACAGTGCCTGGCACATGGAGACACGCCGTACACTTTAGCCCCCTTCTTTCTTCCTCTAACTCCAGGTTCTAAACTAGAAAAAGCCCCACTGGAGTCTGAGATTTGGTTTTTGAACCAGTTTATTTCAGATTGTAATCATGCTATCTAGGGTTGTAACAGTGTTTTGCTATTTATAGGGCACTTCGACCTGATTCTTTTTGCACAGGAAACTTGTCCTACCCTTTTGCCCACTTCACAGAAGTGAGGACTGAGACAGGGAAAGATTAAGGAACTTTTTATTTAACAAATACTTGTTCACATTCCCAAAGCATTTATTAAATACTAGGGCGCAATGATGGAATGAATTTTACCATAAGGATAAACCAGTATTCTGGACTAAGCCAACCTGGGAGACCCTAGGAGGCCTGTTTGAGAAAATGACATTTAAAGTAAGGCTTGGCTGTGGCTACATATCCAGTAAGTGGCTGAGTTGGGATTTGAACTCATGCCTGCTTAGCTCTAAAGATGATGCTTTTGGCTTTGTACTCTGCTCTCTCTCTAGACAAACTGTGGTCCAAAATCGTTAAAGCTAATGTTTATCCCTGCCCAACTGGAGTGTCATGTTATGTCAAATGGCTCTGCGGTCTCAGATGCCCAGCAGACCCATTAGTGGAATTCTACGTGCTACGGGCCTGGGCAAAATGCCAAAGCCTTATACACTCATCACATTTGGTCTGGCAAAGGTCTTCAACAAAGAGAAGTAGTTACAGCAATGAAAAGCAACAGGTCCAGCAACACCAGAAGAACAAAATAATTACTTTCCCTAAACTAGAATAAACTATTTATATAGAGTAAGAGACTATACGATCAATGATAGGAAGAAATAGAAGAGGCTTTAGTATTCTAGCCTTCATTTGTAGACGTAAATGTCGAGCCTCAGAGAAATTATATATCTAATTAGTGTCACTCAGGTAGACAACAGAATTAGGATTAGAACTTAGTTCTTATGACTCCCAGAGCAGGGAAAAGACAGGATGAAGTCCCAAAACATTGCCTGTGAACTCACATCTGACATTGAATAGAGTCTGCTATTTACTCCCTGTGTGACCACAACCCTTCAGAGCCCATGAGATTAGCTATCATGGAGTAGATTTTGATCCACACTAGGCATTTTTACCTCTTGCTCTTTGACTTGGTGCCCCACATTTATTCAGAAATATTCCAAAGGTGTTACATCTATTAGTTTTACACGTTGAGGACAGATCATTATAAGACAAATTGAAATTAAAACATCATCAGGTCTTATTCGTTGTTTAACTTACACTGAGCAATATTTAATAACTAGAATATCAAGAGAGTCCAAAGTGTTTGCCCATCCCCTCAAGACCAATGTAATGGAATTTTATTCTTATCGCCTGCTCAGGCTAGTGGCAATTTGGGATACAGAGGATAGAATTAGAGTCATGACATAGGATCCACAGAATTCACAGATGCCAAACATCTACCCTTCTCTGCCACCACACATTTGACTCACATGGTGGAAATGGGTAACACAAGCAGAGAGGCGGCTTAGCCTTTCGTATTTTTTCAGTGGCCTATGGGAAGATGGTTTCTTGCTTCAAATCCCAGCTCAGCCACACAGAGTTTGGTAATATTGGGCAAGTCAACCAAGGTCTCTGTGCTCCAGGTTCCTCATTATTCAAATGGGGGAAATAATAGTGCCTGCATCAGAGGGTGGTTGTGAGAACTAAATGAAATAATCTATCTGAGCTTTAGAACCCACACCATATTAGTTAAAAATGCAGGCTTTTGTTTTTATTATATTTCTCCACTTAGTCTGCAAATTCTAAGAGGACAGCCTGTACTGTTTTATTCATAAAGCATTACAGGAACAGTAAATAGAACTAGGAGCTTTTCAATGGCCTGCCTGAAATCTGAAAAATAGGTATATTATTCCAAAATTTGAAAAAAAATCAAAGAATTAAAAATTAATAAATGTTAATAAAATATCTGTAATATGGAATATCAAGGTCAACTCAACTCAGCTCTTGTTTATATAAAAATATAGTAAAGTTTAAATTGCAAAACCTTATAGACAATGTGCTATTAGAACTCAAAAGTATAATTCTTTCATATATATATACACCTTTAAGTTCAGGGGTGCATGTGCAGGTTTATTACATAGGGAAACTTACACCACAGGGCTTTGTTGTACAGATACTTTCATCTCCCAGGTATGAAGCCTAGTGCCCATTAGTTATTTTTCCTGATCCTCTCCCTCCTCCCAACCTCTACCCTCAGGTAGGCCTCAGTGTCTCTTGTTCCCCTCTATGTGTTCATGAATTCTCATCATTTAGCTCTCATTTAAAAGTGAGAATTTGTGGTATTTGGTTTTCTGTTCCTGCCTTAGTTTGCTAAGGAAAGCAGTGTGGCAATTTCTCAAAGGCCTAAAAATGGAACTACCATTCAATCCAGCAATCCCATTACTGGTTATGTACTCAAATATTTTTAAGGCAAGACAAAGCTGTAACCAGGACACCTGGCCTCCCTGAAATCCCTTCCACTGATGTTGTTGTTGTTTTTTCTTTTTCCCCAGTTTTTCAAGCCAAAATCCTGGATCATCTTGGGCACTGTTCTCTCCTGCCCACCCTTTCCCATATCCAGAGTTTCATCACTTCTCTCTGCTTCCACTGCTAACTCCCTGGTCCAAGCCACTGCACCTCTTTTCGTGATTATTGCCACAGCCTCCTTGCTGGTTCCCTGACCCCACTCTTGCTCTGAACTATCCAATTAAAACCTGAATTAGATCATCTCATCCTCATCTCAAAGCTTTCTCGTGGCTCCTCTGCCCTCTCAGGAAAAATCTAAGTTCTGGATGGCCTAAAAAGCCCTTGTCTCTTACTGTTTATCTGACCTCATTTACTACCACCTTTTTCTTTGATCATTCTGTTCCAGCCACACTGGCCTCCTTACCACTCCTCAAATATGCCAAGCTCAGCCCCCACCCCCCAGGGCTTTGAACTGGCTGATCCTCCTTCCTGGAATGCCTTTCCCCAAATATCAGCTTGGCCAACTCCCTCCTCTCCTCCAAGTGTCTGTTTAAACATGACTTCAGTAGAAACTGTCTTAACGTCCTATTAATATTGTAATTCCTCTTATGATACTTCACACCTCTTTCCCTGATATGCTTTCTACATACCATGAAATGTCTGCTGAGATAATACATAATTCGCTTTTTTTTTATTGTCACTTCAAAGAGGGCAGTGTGTTTTGTGTTTTGTTTAGTGCCAGACTACTTGATGATGAAGAGAGTGCCTGGCACACAGTAGGTGCTCAATATATACTTGTTGAATAAATGTGTCAATGTTTGATGTACATACCTTTTATTATGTTTGATTTGCTACCAGTGCTGCCTCCAAATACAGGAGTGCTTCATGAGATGTCCACTAAAGGTCTTAAAATATTCCGCAAAAATCTTAAAATATTTCATGAGAAAATTTTTTATAGCAGCACGTGGAATTTTTATAGCAGCACCTGGAATTTAGCTTGCATAGGACCCTCTGTGAGTTGACTCTGTTTATCTATTCAGCTTTACTTCTCCCCTCTCTCCACTTTGTATTTTATTCTCTACTACTTCCAACTGATTATAATTTGACCAGACTCCAGACTATCTTACGTCTCTTTGCTTTTGTTTATCTGTTACTTCTCTCTGGAATTCCCTGCCTCTTCTTAATTTTTCTGGCCAATTCTCACTCTCTAGGACTCAGAGGTTTCTCCTCAGGAGACTTCCATGAGTCTCATGTTGAGTTAAGTGACCCAATCCTCTGTTCTTCATAGTCATTCATGTGTTTATCTAGCTCAATATTTGCCATACTACATTGAAGTTGTTTCCTTATGTGCCCATCTCTCCCCCTAGATTGCAAACTCCTACAGAAGGGCTCAACAGTGAGTGTTGAGGGTGCACAGAGGAGGAAGGCAGCACAATGATGGAAGACTTCTTAAAGAGGTATGTTCCAAGAGCCCCCACTTCCTTTCATGGGAGACTCATGCTCTTACACCCAGACTATCTAGGGATACATCTAATGTAGTCATGGAAAGAACAGGGGACTTGAGTACCAGACTGACATGATTTTGAACCCTTGCTCCCTATTGACCAGATGTGTTCTTGAACAAGTCTCTGAGCCTCAATGTCCTTTCTGCATAGTGGGGATAATGATACTGCACTACATATATAAGGTATCTGGCACATATAAATGTCTGTCCAATACATGCTGATTTCTTCACCCACTTCTCATCCCTGGGAAAGAAGTAAACTCATCTACTCTTGGTACCCATTCATTCTCCCTCAGTTGGAAGCATGAGGTGTGCAGCTGCCTGACCTGGGGGAAGGGCTGCAAGCAGTAGGTGTTAGATGTGGTGGAGCTTGTTGACTTCCTCCCAGGGGCCCAGCTAACAAACTGCCTGTTCCTTGATAGTCAAGTTCAACTTTCACTTCTTAGCACCACAGGAAGTTGACTGAACATAAACTGAAGTCTCTCTCAAACAGAAGACATCTTTGCTGGGTCGCTGTCCTTCCTAGCCTCATTCCTGCTCTCCCCAGTGAGCAGGCTGCCCTCCCTTCTCCCCTCAGCACCACTGATGGGCAAGGGTACTCAGAACTACTATCTCATGGGCCATGTCATGTGCCAGGAGCTGCACCCAGGACCTGAATACAGTAGTTGGCTCCCATTGAATGTTCATAGTTACCCCAGGATAAAGAGGGGACACTATGATCATTTTCTATTTTGCTGTGATCAGGTTCAGTGAGCTAAAGTCACCCACCTTCCCAGTCTCCACCAATAGAAGTCATGTATCAGTACTATTGGTCCTTCTGTTACAAGGATTCAGAATTCATGATCATGGAGCTTCATTTACAGGCAGAAGTTTCTGTCATAGTTTTCTAAGTGTAACTTTTAGCAATAATGGAGAAAATCAAAGAGGGCAAAAGTGAAGGGAGAAAATGACATTTCCTTTTTTGTCCTTTGCTCTTGTAACCTTTTGCTTTAGTTTCCTTACTATGTCTCTGAGGGTGAAACTAGTGGTGAGAGTGGTCCAAAATGGGTTTAATGAATCTGATTCTGGTGACACAAGGTGAATTTGGTATATTTTTCCCTAAAGATAGAGAGACAATATAACATAGTCTTTACATTAATAGACTCTGGAGCCAATTTTCTTAGGTTCATTCTCTTTCCTTTCACGTGTGTTGATTTTCGATAAACATCTTGCACTCAATTCCATCTTAGTGTTTTATTTCAAAAAATTTAATTTTCTCTTTTAAAAAAATTCTTTAACTAATTGCAATTATTTCCATCTATGCTATTCCACTGAAACCATTTTAACATGGGCTTAATAACTTCATTGTATGTTAATGTTAATTTTTCATTTTTTACCTTCTTGGTTTTCTAGCTGCATTTAATGTGGTTGACGACTCACTCTTTGAAGCTCTATTCCTCTGGCTACTATAACATGAGACACTTAATTAAACTAAAGAGCTTCTGCACAGCAAAAGAAACTACCATCAGAATGAACAGGCAACCTACAGAATGGGAGAAAATTTTTGCAATCTACTCATCTGACAAAGGGCTAATATCCAGAATTTACAAGGAACTGAAAACAAATTTACAAGAAAAAGCAAACAACCCCATTAAAAAGTGGACAAAGGATATGAACAGACACTTCTCAAAAGAAAGCATTTATATAGCCAACAGACACATGAAAAAATGCTCATCATCACTAGCCATCAGAGAAATGCAAATCAAAACCACAATGAGATACCATCTCACACCAGTTAGAATGGCAATCATTAAAAAGTTAGGAGACAACAGGAGCTGGAGAGGATGTGGAGAAATAGGAACACTTTTACACTGTTGGTGGGGTTGTAAACTAGTTCGACCATTGTGGAAAACAGTGTGGTGATACCTCAAGGATCTAGAACTAGAAATGCCATTTGACCCCGCCATCCCATTACTGGGTATATACCCAAAGGATTATAAATCATGCTGCTATAAAGACACATACACACGTATGTTTATTGCGGCACTATTCACAATAGCAAAGACTTGGAACCAACCCAAATGTCCATCAATGACAGACTGGATTAAGAGAATGTGGTACATATACACCATGGAATACTGTGCAGCCATAAAAAAGGCTGAGTTCATGTCCTTTGTAGGGACATGGATGCAGCTGGAAACCATCATTCTCAGCAAACTATCGCAAGAACAGAAAACCAAATACCACATGTTCTCACTCATAGGTGGGAACTGAACAATGAGATCACTTGGACACAGGAAGGGGAGCATCACACACTGGGGCCTGTTGTGGGGTGGGGGATCGGGGAGGGACAGCATTAGGAGATATACCTAATGTAAATGACGAGTTAATGGGTGCAGCACACCAAGATGGCACATGTATACATATGTAACAAGCCTGCGCATTGTGCACATAGACCCTAGAACATAAAGTATAAAAACAAACAAACAAACAAAAAAACGCCTTCTGATCCCTGCTCTAAGTCACACAGTTTAATAATGGTAGACATAGAATTTGAGTTATTCTCATAATAGGTCTTTTAAACAATGCCTTCTTCTCTTCATTCTTTCTATCTTATAATGGATATTCTTTCTGGTACATCACATAAAGGAATGTAACTATATGCATGTAATGATGAGAATATTTATATGTATTATGCCTATTACAAAAAATTAGATTCTAACATTGTAGAGGAGCATTTATTTTATTTTTTTGAGAAAAGTATAATTTTATTTATTTATTTGTGCAAATTTATGGGGTACTTGAGAAAATGGGTTACATGTATATAACGTGTAGTGATCCAATCAGCACACTAAGAGTGTCCATCACCTGAGTGTATCATATTTTTGTGAAGTCTCACCATCCTATTCCAGGAGAACATTTTAAAAACTGTTCTGTAGAGATACTACTCAAACTAAGTTCCCAGTCCTGAAACATCAGATCAGCTAGGAATTGGACCAAAATGCAAGTTCTCAAATGACAAATGAGACCACTTGAATCAGAATTTCTGGAGTGGAGCCCACACATTTGTATTTTAGCAACCTTTCCAATGATACTTATGTACATGCTCAAGCTTGAAAACCACTTTCCTAGGACATTAGTTCCTCAACAAGATTTATGAGTAACCTTGTTTCATGAAAAAGTGTTTAGGAGATACTGATTCCATAAAAACTAACCAGGTTTTTATTGTTTGCAGGGCTTTCAAAACTTGAAATAGGCTACTATGCATTGTTAATTTCCAAGAGGAAGATGCTTATGTCCTCAATGAATATGTTCCCATCGTGAAGTACTCTTCTTCCCCCACTTTTTAAAACAATTATTAACACCTGGCAGAAGTAGGATGACAGCTTACAGCTTAGAAAATGTTGGCCTAAAATAGTGACTAATTTTCATACATTATTTATTTGTCATCATGCTTATCTTTCTCTCTCTAAATTGTATATTTCATCTCTGTGATCACAGATTGAGCCTCATATTTCATATCTGCCCCTGGCCTAATGTTTGTTTACAGAATGAGCTCAATGAATATTGTTTAGTGAGTAGGATTCAATTTATTTGATAAATAGATAACCTTAAGTTTTAAACCGTGGATTTCACATGAGGACATTTACTTACTATTGTTGAGGTATAATTAATTTTTAATACTCTTTAGGTACTCATAATAAAGAACAGGATATTTGGAGAAGGAAGACAATATCATTCCTGGTTCTTAGTCTTACCGGTTTGTTGATCGTGAGTATATGGACTCTCTGTGGCTCAGTGCCTTCCTCTGTAAAATGGGAACACAGTGACGTTCATCTCACAGGATTGATTTGTAAAAGGACTGGATGAGATTATGAGAATGTTTTGCAAAGTGATATAGAAAGATTAATTGCAAACTTCATTTGAATCTTAAATTGTTTGAGATAGGTCATGCTATGAATCAACTACGAAGTGCAGATATTGTCAAGATTAAATACTTCTTTCCAAAGAGCTGAGAGGAGGGGCTGCTTGTTTGTTTGTTTCTTTCTTTTTAGAAAGATGCCAGGATGGGCTCATTTTGGGGGTTTCCTCTCACTTGCTCATCTTACTTTTTCTTTAGTTTTCTCTATTCATTACAATACAGTGCTGTAAAGCTTTATGGCATTTTTATTTTGTGAGAGATGAATCTAAATAAAGAATTACAGTTAAATCATTGCTAAGTTTGATGAATGAGTACCAAATAATTCTTCAAGATGTCATTTTTAAAGTTTTTTAAATAATTGGCTTTCAGTGGTTCCCTCTAAGGAATTTTAATTTTGAATAATGCATAGAAAAATGTGCACACACACAAATCATTCAGTGTCCACCTTGAGGGAAATAAAGGTGCCTGTGAAGTGAAACTTTACCTTTCTACGTCACCAGCTTCCTGTCAGAGCACAGTTTTTCTTTGTTCAAAGTCTAAGCATTGAAGAACTTCTTTTTAGTAGGTAATTTGTTTGTTTGTTTTTGTTTATTTTTTTGAGATGGAGTCTCACTCTGTCGTCCAGGCCGTAGTGCAGTGGCATAATCTCAGCTCACTGCAAGCTCCACCTCCCGGGTTCACGCCATTCTCCTGCTTCAGCCTCCCGAGTAGCTGGGACTACAGGCGCCCGCCACCTCGCCCGGCTAATTTTTTTGTATTTTTTGTAGAGACTGGGTTTCACTGTGTTAGCCAGGATGGTCTTGATCTCCCGACCTCATGATCCACCTGCCTCGACCTCCCAGAGTGCTGGGATTACAGGTGTGATTTCGGGGGTAGTTTTGAGTAGGGAGTATACATTTAAAATACTGCAACTCAGTTAAGGAATAATCTAATACTGTATTCAACTGAAACTCAGTTGAGAAATTTCTTTCCAATAATGTAAAAAGGAGAATCAACTGCAGTAATGAGGGAGATGATTTGCTGATAATTATAACAAATATTTACTACAGATCTGTTATGCACCATGAACTGTGCTAAATGCTTTATACATATAACTTTATTTTGTGCTCCAACAACCTGTTACATAGAAATTGTTATTATTCCCACTTTCTAGATTAATAAATTGACTTTGAGGGGTCATATAGGTGAAACAACTCACTCAATATCACAAGCTGTTATGTGGTGAAGTTTGCATGATCAGTACAGCGTTCTGGTCCTCCCACTCATTGAGTGGTACTAGTTAAGATCTGGAAGCTCTTCTGGTCTTAGTTTCTCTAGCTGTGAAGTGAGAATGACTAGGACTAATCATAGAATATGAGAGTACATGTGAAAAAAATGCCTTTTTAAAGAGTATGAAAAACTTGGGTTGTAAAATTTTCTTGTGGATAATTTATTATTGCTTTTCTTTTTTAGATAACACTAACGGAGTTGACCTTAGAATTGGAGTGCCTGGGTTAGAACCTTGGTATCACCTTCTTACTGTAAGACTTTGGTCAAGTTAGTAACTTTTCTGTTCCTTATTTGTGAAATATAGTTAATGGATGTGTGTGTGTGTCTGATGTGTTTATCGGGACATAACCCCATTGTAAGTTGAGGAGTATTTGTGTATATATACATATTTATTTGTGTGTGTGTGTCTGTCTGCCTGTCTGAGAACAGTGCTGGCACAAAAGTGCTTAATACACTTCACTCATTATTATTAATATTACTATTGTTGCATTTTCGCCTGGAAGGCATACTTCTGATGTGAGTTCAGGAGAAGACACTGGCAAGGACAGCAAAGAACAGGAGAACACTCTAGCTTCCCTGATAGCATTCGAGGTGCTGTCCAAAGTGAGTTTTCCTCAAGCAGAGAGATGCACTGCCTCTTTTATGCTTTGTTTTTCTTACTTGCCTACTCTATTTACACCTTCCAAGTAAGGACCAATCAGCAAAACCCCAAGAGAGTCACTGTCATGAAGATAATTATGAACTGGCTGAGTCCTTGCAATGTTTATTATTTAGGTTTTTAAGAACAGATAATTAAAGGCCCCACAGAATCTAGTCTCTCCCAATTGTAAAAGTGGGGTCTTAATAGAAACCCACAGAGCACTTGGGGTTGTGCACTTGCTTCTGAAAGTTCTCTTAAGAAATCACTGACCTGGTGCACTCCCTGGGGTATTTCATGACCATGTGAAATCACTTACTGTTTCTAATTTGCATTTTTCCTGAGTTTGCATATTTTTCTTACATCTGCTTTGTTACCAATGTACCAAGTCCTTATACATTTGGACTGCATTTACTGCAGTTTGGAATGGTTTCTCAGAAATGGGACATTAAAATCCTGGAGTGTGACACTGAGACGCGGAAAGGGCTTCCTTTGTAAGCCGTTCAGGCATGCTGAGCATTAGTGTAGAAATTATTTTTTCCTTAATTTTCTTGGATAGCAACCTATATAGAATCTTATAATTGTGTGTAAGAATTCATTAAAGAAACTCTCTTGATTGCTAGAAATCCAAGCTGCTAGTGAGGAGAGAACTGCAGTGATTTGTTGCAGCAGAAGTATTATGGAAATATTTACTGAATACCTTCTATGTGCTGGGCGTTGAGTGAAACACTTTCATATCCCTTGCAACACATGTCTTAGTCTAAGGTAATACTTTAATGTAATTCTAACAAATGGATAAAAAGGGAATTATCATTATTTTATTGATGAAACACCAGAGACTGCAAGAAACTAGGCCCAGAACAGTTAAACAGAGTAGACATAACCTCTTACCACCTTATCTGCTACTATGTAACAAACCACCCTAAACTTCAGTGGTTTAAAACAACAAACATTCATAATCTCACAGTTTCTGGCACATAGGAAGCACTGCATAAGTGATTGTTATTCTTGCTGATTATGTTTCTGTCACTGACATTGTGTATCACTGAGTTGGGATGTGTATTAGATAGAATCATGGAAGGTAAGGTTATAGAACAGTAATTCAGACATGTTCATTATGCTAAGTGCTTTACATATATGAAGTCAACTACATTTAATACGTATCAACAATGAGGTTGGTATTAGTATTATCCCCATTTTAGAGATGAAGAAAGAAATTCAGAGAGACTTCCTTCCTTCCTTCCTTCCTTCCTTCCTTCCTTCCTTCCTTCCTTCCTTCCCATGTTCATTATGCTAAGTGCTTTACATATATGAAGTCAACTACATTTAATACGTATCAACAATGAGGTTGGTATTAGTATTATCCCCATTTTAGAGATGAAGAAAGAAATTCAGAGAGACTTCCTTCCTTCCTTCCTTCCTTCCTTCCTTCCTTCCTTCCTTCCTTCCTCTCCCTCCTCCCTCCCTCCCTCTCCCTCCTTCCTTCCTTCCTTCCTCTTCCTTCCTTCCTTTCCTTCCCTTCCTTCCTTCCTTCCTTCCTTCCTTCCTTCCTTCCTTCTCTCTCTCTCTCTCCCTGTCTTCCTCTCTCTCTTTCTCTCTTTCTTTCTTTCTTTCTTGACAGAGTTTCACTCTTGTTGCCCAGGCTAGATTGCAATGGAACAATCTTGGCTCAATGCAACCTCCGCCTCCCGGGTTCAAGCAATTCTCCTGCCTCAGTCTCCCCAGTAGCTGGCACTACAGGCATGCACCACCATGCCCGGCTAATTTTGTAGTTTTAGGAGAGTCAGGGTTTCACCATGTTGGTCAGGCTGGTCTCGAACTCCTGACCTCAATTGTTCCATTCTCCTCAGCCTCCCAAAGTGCTGGGATTACAGGCATGAGCCACCACGCCTGGCCTAATTTTTCTTACGTGAGATACAGTTTACCAAAGTCCACCTTCCACTTCTTCCTTTGTATATATAGACATGGCATTTCCTAGCTTCTCTTGCAGTTAACTGTGGCCATGAGCTTTGGGCAGTGGAATGTGAATGGATGTGATGTGGCCACTCCATATGTGTTTATCTGTGTCCTTTCCCCTTCTAGGTGACTGTGATGGCACCTTCCAGACAGACAGCAATGCCACATGTTCAAGATGGCAGAATCACTATCAGCTTCAATTCCTGAATGACTGCAGAGCAAAATTTCTTGCCTGCAACATACACTGTCTTTGCAGCCTCCCTGGGCTGTTACATAATGACACATAAAAATATTTCTTGTGTTGAGGCATCCCGAATTTGATCTATTTGTCATCACAGTCTATCCTACGAATACATTTCCGATCCAAATAATGCTAGATTCATGAGAGTTTATAGTCCAGAGATTTTTTTTTTTTTTTTTAAATTTTTAATTTTGAGACAGAATCTCGCTGTCTCCCAGGCTGGGGTGCAGTGGCATAATCTTAGCTGGCTGCAGCCTCCACCTCCTGGACTCAGGTGATCCTCCCTCCTTAGCCTCCATGAATAGCTGGGACCACAGGTGTGCACCACCATACCCAGACAATTATTTTGTATTTTTTGCAGAGATGGGGTTTTGCCACATTGCCCAAGCTGGTCTCAAACTCCTAGACTTAAGGGATCTGCCCGTCTTGGCCTCCCAAAATGCTGAAATTACACGTGTAAGCCATAGTAATAGTTCCTAGCCATAGTCCAGAGATATTTAAAAAACTTTAGCGTGAGTCATTTCTCTTTGCTGTAATTCTTTCATGCATTTTGAAAACCTTTTCCGCCATACAGTGCTTTTTGGGAAGTCCTTTGGACAGACATATCACAGGATGGAAAAATTAAAGAGAGAGAATGCACTAAAGAAAAAATAGTACTTCGTATTTCAGAAATTACTGAAGGTGTCTGCCCCAGTGCAACAGCATGGTGGGCAGTCATTTGTAACCCACAGAACATTGAGTTTCTAAAATTTGAGTGTTTTTAACTTACGAGGGCCAACTTCACTGATGAAGTGATTACCCCAAATATGTGAAGTCCATATTTCAGACACAATAGCAGGAAATCGGAAATATTTTTGACTGTCAAAGAGTACAAAGTAAAGAGGGGCCCCTGAAGAGTGACACTACTGGAAAAACAGAAGAAAAAAAAACTGTTTCTTTTTTTAAAGAGCAGTCAACCTCAAACTTACTACTAATGACTGTATTTCATTTCAGTCTACCCCAGTGGTTTTGTTTCTCATAGACTGTAGAATGTAAGGCTTTTTGGTCATTCTGACAGATTTTCCAGCACAAAAAATATCAGGGGATTAACTGACAAATCATGGGTATTTTTAGTAAGATAGATTAGTCCTGGAAATTTTCTCCACCGATGAGAAAAAAAGACATGTGCCACCTGAGGGTTACAAAGACTGTTGGTGGCTGGCCTGAGGCTCCTTTTTTAAAAAATTATTATTTTAAGTTCTGGGATACATGTGCAGAACTGCAGTTTGTTACATGTGCCATGGTGGTTTGCTGCACCTATCAACCCATCATCTAGGTTTGAAGCCCCACATGCATTAGGTATTTGTTGTAATGTCCTCCTTGCCCTTGGGCCTCACCCTTTGACAGGCCCCAATGTGTGATCGTCCCTTCCCAGTGTCCTTGTATTCTCATTGTTCAACTCCCACTTATGAGTGAGAACACACAGTGCTTGGTTTTCTGTTCCTGTGTTAGTTGGCTGAGAATTATGGCTTGCAGTTTCATCCATGTCCCTGTAAAGCACATGAACCCATTCTTTTTTATGGCTGCATAGTATTCCATGGTATACACCATATGTCATGTTTTCTTTATCCAGTCTATCATTAATGGGCATTTGGGTTGGTTCCAAGTCTTTGCTATTGTAATTAGTGTTGCAATAAGCATACGTGTGCATGTGTCTTTATAGTAGAATGATTTATAATCCTTTGGGTATATACCCAGTAATGGGATTGCTGGGTCAAATGGTATTCCTGGTTCTAGATGCTTGAGGAATTGCCACACTGTCTTTCACAATGGTTGAACTAATTTACACTCCCACCAACAGTGTAAAAGTGTTCCTATTTCTCCACAGCATCACCGACATCTGTGTTTCCTAACTTCTTAATAATCACCATTTCAACTGGTGTGAGATGGTATCTCATTGTGGTTCTGATTTGCATTTTTCTAATGACCAGTGATGATGAGCTGTTTTTCATGTTTGTTGGCCACATAAATGTCTTATTTTGAGAAGAATCTGTTCATATCCTTTTCCCATTTTTTGATGGTTTTTTTTTTTCTCATAAATTTGTTTTCAGTTCCTTGTGCAATCTGGATATTAAACCTTTGTCAGATGGGTAGACTACAAAAATTTTTTCCCATTATGTAGGTTGCCTGTTCATTATGATGATAATTTCTTTTGCTGAGCAGAAGCTCTTTAGTTTAATTAGATCCCATTTGTCAATTTTGGCTTTTGTTGCCATTGCTTTTGATGCTTTAGTCATGAAGTCTTTGCCCATGACTGTGTCCTGAATGATATTGCCTAGGTTTTCTTCTAGGGTTTTTATGGTTTGGGATTTTACATTCAAGTCTTTAATCCATCTTGAGTTAATTTTTGTATAAGGTGTAAGGAAGGGGTTCAGTTTCTGTTTACTGCATATGACTAGCCACTTTTCCCACCACCATTTATTAAATAGAAAGTCCTTTCCCCATTGCTTGTTTTGTCAGGTTTGTCAAAGGTCAGATGGTTGTAGGTGTGTGGTGTTATTTCTGAGGGCTCTGTTCTGTTCCATTGGTCTATATATCTGTTTTGGTACCAGTACCATGCTGTTTTGGTTACTGTATCCTTGTAGTATAGTTTGAAGTCAGGTAGCATGATGCCTCCAGCTTTGTTCATTTTGCTTAGGATTGTCTTGGCTATATGGGCTCTTTTTTGGTTCCAGATGAGATTTACACTACATTTTTCTAATTCTGCAAAAAAAAGTCAATGGTAGCTTG